ATGTTGTCTTCTTTCGACAAAACCCATTTGTTCATGTGTGTGAGGGCATGAAATTAGATGTGCTATACCATTGGTTTTAAAATATTGATTAAGTCGTTTATATTCCCCTCCCCAATCTGATTGTATGGCTGTTATTTTGGTATTAAAGTAACGCTCCACAAGAGCTTGGAATTGTAAAAATATTAACTCGACTTCAGACTTTTGTTTTAATGGAAATAGCCAAATGAATTTTGTAAAGTGATCAACAAAGCATACATAATAACGAGAACCATAATTAGATAAACATGCAGCTGGACCCCAAACATCCGAGTAAATTAACTCAAGAGGCCTGGAGGCTTTGAAGTCAGAAGATTTAACAGGAAGGTTATGGCTTTTAGCCATTTGACGATCAGAACAAACATAGTGTCTCTTATTCTTGACAACTGGAATTTTATTTGTAGAAATAACTTGTTGAATAACTGGAAATGAAGCATGACCAAGGCGATTGTGCCAATCAGAAACTGACACACGAGCACCTGTGAAGGCAGCATGAGTGGACTTCTGGAGAGATGGTGAAAAACAGTAAAGTCCATCACGGAGACAGCCTCTATGTTGGATGTTGCCCAAGTAGTCCTTTATGAGAAAGAAAGAGTCATGAAATTCAAAGAAAACATGATTATCTTTAGCAAACTGATGAACAGATAAAAGATTTTTAGTGATGGCAGGAACCACAAGTATTTGATCTAGAAGAAAAGAATTTGAAGGTGTAGATATTTGTGAAGAACCAAGATGAGAAATAGACAAACCTGCTCCATTTCCAACCTGAATTTCATCTATACCATGATATTCCTCACTAAGAGTGAGGTTGTTCATATCCGCAGTCATGTGGTGAGTTGTTCCTATGTCGGGATGCCAAACAGGGTCTGCAGGATGTGAGGATGAGGCAAGCATAGCATTTGGAGTCTTGGGTTGTTGGAAGGGGCGAAAAGTGATATCAAACCTGTGGAAACATTTGTGTACAGTGTGTCCAGGTTTTTCGCACAGTTGGCACCATAGGTGGGAACGTTGAAAGCCTCCGGAGTTGGTGTTGCGATTATTGGAAGGGTTGTAGTTGTTGGTGGTGGAACCTCCACGAGTGTTGACCCCTCCTCGGTATGAAGTACCTCCACGAGATTGGAAGTTATTATAAGAACCCCTACTCCTTCCACGAGGATGATCAAACTGTTTAATAGCAACATTAGCACTTGCAGTAGAAAGTAGCTGGGTGTTGTGCAGGATCCGAGCTTCACTGGTGAGGAGCATTGAATAGACCTCCTCCAAGGTAATGTTTTCACGACCACTAACAATGGACACAAAGGAATCATATTCAGGACCAAGACCAGCCAAGATATAGGGAATTATGTCATCACATTTAAGTGCCTGACCAGCAATGGCAAGCTGATATGTGAGTCGTTTGATTTGCATAAAGTAATCTGTAGCAGATAGGTGGCCTTTACGAGAAGTGGCCAATTGAGATCGAATTTGAACAACTTTTGCTCTCGATTGAGAAGCAAAGCAGGTTTCAAGCGCTAGCCAGATGTCATGAGAGGTTTCAGCGTGGTAAACCTATACAAGAACTTCTTCAGTTACAGAAGAAGTAATAGTGCTGAGGATAAGGTTATCCTGTTTGGTCCAGGTAGCAAACTCTGGATTGGGAATGGAGGTGTCATTCTCAGTAATCTTGGCAGGTGGTGCTTTGATTGTGCCATCAACATAACCAAAGACATCTTGGCCTTTTAGGTAGGGAAGCATTTGGGCTTTCCAGATCGGGTAGTTGGTACTAGTGAGCTTCGTGATAATGATGTTGGATGAAGGGCTGAAGGTGGGAAGGGATGAGTTTGAAGAAGACATGTTGGAAAAGCAATATGAGGATTTAGACGTGGGTCAGTACCCAGCTGATACCATATAAAATCTTAAGCTAAGTTATTTACTGAATTGGAATTCATTCATTTATTTCATCAGGTACATTGTGTTCATTATATAGTAGTCTAAGCTAACAACTCTACTAAAGAAGTGCAAGTCTTGTTACAACTGAATCCTATTATTGTGTACAGAATTTGAATTTAAACTTATCAACTAGCTATCAATAATCTTTGTAGTAGTTTCTGCAATCTTGGACTCATTTTGAACGTGTGACTCAACACTCCTTTAAAAATCCAATCTTGTACAATTGATATTTTTCGCACAGCAACAATCCCTTTTCCCAGATCTTGGTCTTAATCTACCACAGCAGTTCCACATGAAAAAGCTGGAAGGCAAAAATTCCTACCTTAGGATTTATAGGCAGACAACTTCTACTACCTAGATTAAGGTTTTAGATTTTCATTATTATTATTATTATTTTTTTTATTTTTTTTTTTTTTTGGTGCTAGCAAAAAATCTATATGTAGGATAATTAATGAAATGAGGAAAAAAAAAAAAAAGAGAGGAAAGGAAAGGAAACATACGATAATGATTGACGGGCATGTTTTATTCTAGAATGTTGGATTTATGCTACGGATACTCATTGCTCGAGCGAACATAATGGTTTTTCATATAGGATACATTCCCATCTAGAATAAAAAATTTGTTTGAGCAGGAAAAATTATGACGATGCTAAATAATATTTCGATTAGTGTGGTTTTGAATTTCTGACAGTCACAAAGTTGAAGAGCGAAAAACATCGAAACACTTAATGTTCAATTTTTAAGTTGTGTGCCACTTTAATGTCCACATCGAATATTTTTATCATGTAAAATTCAAAATTTACGTATTTAAATGGTAGAGACTCAAATTCTCACTTTTTAACCTTAGAGATTCGAAACCACAATACTATCGACTATTGAGGTTCCCATCCTTAATTTTCTCTTTCAAATATATATGATATCAAACATCAGGACAACTTTTTTCACAATATATGATTAAACTATACTGTTGGTATATCCAGACAAAAGAAAAACACTTCGTTTGAAAGTAAAGCACGAGGGAAAGAAAAGACATCATATGGGATCCAAAGTCTATAATGATCAGCCCAAATATTTACAAATAAGTTGGGCCATATGTTGGTTTGTAGAAGTAAAGATCCAAATTCATTCTGATCAGATTTCAGTAGGATTTAATTTTATTAGCCCAAAACAATTATTATACTGTCGTGAAATTAAGAAAGAACAAGAGAAGAGAATATAGAGAATAATATAATATGTAAGAGAGTCAAAACTATTGTTCGTAATATATTGAAAACTAAAACTCCATATTTATAGGTACAATTAGACTGTAGGGATACAATAATTTTTCACAAAATATTATATAGACCATGTTCGATGTACATTATTGAGTGGAGAATGCATTTTAAATAGTGATTTGATGGTTATGTGGTTAAAAAAAAATGAATTTGCGTGTAATATTATCTTATTGAAAAATATGTGGTTGAAAATGAATTTTGAAACAATGAATTTTTGTAAGAATGTGGATCAAACAGGATCTTAATTTACTCCCCCTTGAGGACAATTTGCTCATCAAAAATCTTGTTTTGTAAAAATTCTATAAGATAAAAATATAAAACGAAGGAAAAACGAGTGCACAGAATTTGGAGTAGTCAAATGCTTCCTCATTAGAATTTTGTCAAGAAAATCCAATAGAACAAAGTCTTAGCGAAGGGAAATGAGTACATCTACTTCCCTGATTTCAATCAAAGAAGTATATGTCATGTTGTTTTTTCTTTATGGTTTTCAAGCAGTATTATCTTCATACAAGATATTCATGTGTTCCTAATTGATTGATCTATGCAATAACGTTGAAGATAAATCTTATTATCAACTTTTCAAGTGTTGAAGTAGATAAACTGTGATAACCACACGTGAATAAATATAATGGTCGATGAACTTCATGTTGATCAAATAATATTTCGCATCATCATAACTATCTAGTCCCAAATATGGTACTTCAAGATCAATATATTATATTAACTTGAGGCCGGAAATGATTCTCTCCTTACTTCAAGAAAATAAATAGCTAGAGTATTAAATCCTTCAAGAATTTCACATAGAATTTTTGAATAGTCATGCATTAGATGTTAGAATAAACATAATTTATAAATCAATAAACATGTTTTCTCTTTAACAACGAAGTGGTTTAAATAACACGGTATCAAAGGAGATACAAAAAAAGTGAGTTTATCTTTCACGACAACCCATTCTTGAAAATTCTATACTTGTATATCTTGAATTTGCGTATGAAAAGATTTGTTGAAGATATGATTTAAATAAATATAAATATATACATTTGTGTGTCCTATCTAAAGTTTGAATATGAATAAAATTAAAGAAAATAGATAACGGAAGATACAGTGTGTAAGTGACTTGACATTTTGGAGGAGAGATAGGCACATGGGGACACATGAACTTATGTTCTATTTTCCCCCTAACTCCTCGTCATGATATTGAAATGTGTCTAAATGTATTAATTTCTTAACTTCTCGACCAAGCATTATTTATCTTGCCGTAACATGTTTTGTCTACAGAAAACTAAGTGTCATCAATTGAGATTGTGATGACTTTAAAAAAAAAAAAAAAAAAATCCAACTTAAGGATATTTTAATGGATTTTAATGAATTTTATTAAAATTTAGGTATCTCCAATTGAGATTTTAATTAAAGTCAATGAAATTCTTTAAAATTTAAGTATTATCCTCAATAACTAGTGGATTTTTAAAAATTTCATTAACAAAGGAATTTTAAAAGATTTGGATGGATATCAAGTTTAAAAATATGTGTAACCAAATCTTTTGAAATATCACCATACTTTATAAAACTCTTTTGTGAAATTCTATTCAAATTCATGAAATTTATTAGGATTTATAATTTTTTAAAATTTATCAAAACTTTAGTTGAGGACACCCTCCTAAATGTCCTATAAAACCCTACCGTTGCCCGACCAGATTAGTTACAACTTCTTGGTGTCAATCATATACACACATCCTGTCTAATTGAGATAAGCCCAAATAGAATGGCAAGAGAAGGGAGTTCCAGCAGACAACAAAAATGGACTCTCCAGGGAATGACAGCACTTGTTACTGGTGGAACTAGAGGAATTGGGTAAACCACACTGAATTAGTTCTCTTCTTTATGTCCTGATTTTTCTTCTTACTCCTCGTCCCTGGGGAGGGATAATTAATCTGTTATGGAGAATGAGTCCTTTTTAATGTTCTTGTTTGTGTGGATCTTAGATATGCCATAGTGGAGGAGCTAGCGGGATTTGGCGCCAAAGTATATACATGTTCAAGAAACGAGACAGAACTGAATGAAAGGCTAAAAGAATGGGAAGAGAAAGGGTTTAAAGTAAGTGGTTCAGTGTGTGACTTGTCATCAAGAACTCAGAGAGAAGAACTAATGAAGACAGTCTCTTCAATCTTTGATGGCAAGCTGAACATCCTAGTAAGTCAAACATTGGATTCATAATGTTGTTTCTTCATCTTATTTTCCTTCTTCTCCTTGATTGTTCAAGTAGGTAGGGAGTTGATGAAGTGGTTCATGTATTAGAAGAGTTTCAAAACCTGCCAACATCTTTTAATGATAATTTTGCACTATTTCATTCATAGATAGATAATATATTCGACCTGAACATGAACGGACGTGTAGAATTTAAATTAACGAGGCTTAAACATACCATTTCTCTTCTCACTTTCATGGTGGTTGGAGGTTGGGACCTTCTAAGAGGATATGTCTTATCTCAGCAATATATAACACAAAATGTTACATCACATGATTAATGCCACGCTTATTAATTGCACAATGTTATCAAGATGACATATCACAACATACAAATCTCTGGGGATTTCGTGGGTTTAATTTATTCGACCTCTATTTGTTATTTATTAAGATAAATAAAAATATGGGCCTTGAAAAGACTGGTAGAGAAAATACGAATCTGCAAGAAATAAAAGTCAAGAAATATAGGTGGCTTGTCTTTGTTAAAATTAATAAATAATTAGAAAAAAAAATTAAATTAAATTAATTGAGAACAAGACAGACCGCTTAAGAATTCATTATCCTTGACTGATGATTAGCAATAAGATTTATAGTCTTGAGTTTATTATATCGATCTCACTTTTATTAGGTAAATAATGCTGCGATAAGTCTAATGAAGCGAGCTAAAGACCATACTCATGAAGATTATGCACGTGTAATGGAAACAAATATCGAGTCCCCTTATCATATCTGCCAACTCGCGTACCCATTAATGAAAGAATCAGGAGTTGGAAATATAGTGTTCATTTCATCTGTTGCTGGTGGAATGGCACTGCCTGCACTTTCTGTTTATGCAGCATCCAAAGGTAAGAATACATTAGCATCATTTAATCAATTTTCCGCATAAATTTAAATGATTAAAATCATATTTAAATTGAATTTTTCATTTGCTTTCAGGTGCCATAAATCAACTAACGAAAAATTTGGCTTGCGAATGGGCTAAGGACAATATTCGTACCAATACTGTTGCGCCATGGGGTGTCAAGACTACAATCATGAAACACGTATTATTCTGTAAATTTTCGTGCATGTTTGCTAAACATTAGTTAACAAGATTAGTCGACAATACAAGTGACATATTTTGAACTTATTATGTTTGTTCAGGAGGATATCGAACCATCTGTTTTGGAAATGTTTGTCCCTCTAATGGCTAGGACTCCACTAGGGCGATTAGCAGAACCCGATGAGATATCTTCTTTGGTGGCATTTCTTTGTCTTCCGGTTGCTTCGTATATTACGGGGCAAGTCATTTATGTCGATGGAGGATATACAGCGGGTGGGGTCTAATGGGAATTTCAAATTTTTAGGTGCCAAATCTATGATTTTGTAATTTTTCAGAGCATTAGGCTCTTGTAATAATTTATCGAAAGAATTTTGTTCACTGTCATTAAATTTTTCAATGTATTATTATTCATGGCACTGGAAAGAAATTCTTTTAATCTCCAAAAGAAATTACAGTTAGTCTTCAATCTATACAAAAAAGTAAAAAATAGCGCAAACGCAATACAAAAAGATTGTGTATTCAAATACGAGAACTTAATACATTTCGTAAAAATTAGAGACCCCAATAATAATTTTTTAAGAGAAACAAAAAAAGTCAAGAACTTATACATATTGTGAAAATTAGAGACCCAATTTGTAATTTTTCGCTATGGCGACTAAGTTGGTAAAGCAGAGATTGCTATCACTTCATTAATAATCCTTGTTTTCTTTTTTTGGTCATATTTAAAAGACGGCCCATGACTGCCAACTATACTTGAACATCAAAAACTATATCGAGTGTGACCTAATTATAAATTTAAGCTTTTCTTTTGTCTAAATGGTATGAATAATTGCATACAAGTACGACAAAGTAATTATTCACAGTCGGTCAATCTTAAATTATACTGAGCTTAATCATACAATACATCTGTATTCTATATAGAAGATCAATCGTGAGCCATAAAGTGACATATTGAGTATTCTTTATGCATTTTCCTCCGATATTCTAACAAGTATTTTTAGAGCATACTTTTGGATTTTTGTAAATACCATTTTGTAGTGTGAGAAAGGTCAAATCAAGAAAAAATTTCAAATATTTCTTGTACAGAAAAACATTGTCCAGACCAAGACATGTTCTCAGATTTGACTTTGAGAATCACAAAATCCAAACATATTTTAAACCACACGATAACATATGCTCTATCTCTATCTCACAATTAAAAGAAACCCAAAAGTTAATTCCAAAACAGAATTCACATTGCACTCACAGAATTAAACAATAAGCGAAAAAGTACAAGTTGGCCACGAAGATTCTTATAATCTTTGCCATGGAACAAGAACGAAGGTTGGATATGAACACTGTCTGAGCTCTTCTTGGACAGTCCGATGAGTACTATACGGCACAAATGTATACCAAAAGATGGAATTTTCTTTGCAAATTGGAACTCATGGACCTGCCTGTGCTGCTACTTTTAAGAAAAAAAGCATAGACAAATGCATTCGTGTCTTATTATCAAGAAACAGACATTTTGAATAGATGAATGTCGGAGTTGCCGACACACAGAATTTTCTATAGTATGACCCACAAAAATTTGTTAAGGAGACAGATAATAACCCGCTGGAGATGCGTACCCATATGTGTTAAATAAAGGGAAGACAAATGGAGTTCAGTTTTCTAGAGGATGTCTGTATGCTTTTTGCTGTTTACAATGCTCTCTTGAAACATTAGTGGTCCGAGGAAAGAACTAATTGAATTCTAATCTCTATTATATATGCAGGAGTTAAAAGTTAATTGAGATTTGATGGTTTCGATGCTTCGGAAGGCTATCTGGTAAGGTTGAACTTTAGGTTTTCTAGATTTGAATCGAACTTTAAGTACCTTTTTTATTTAACTAAAACTTAGATTTTTAGTAAATTTTGATACAATTTAATGAAATATATGATTTAAAAATTAATTGTTTATTTTGATTTAAAATTTTATCAATTTTTTGACTAAACCAAGCATGAACTAAACGTTGGGTTATCCCGTCTACAATCACACTCACATGGGAATGGGACCTACTTGTATAAAATATTTTTTTATTCAAACGGGTCCCACCCCCATGTGAGTGTGATGTACACGTCGATGTACACCTTGATGTACCAGTAGCAAAACCGTTAAAAGTTAATTGAGATTTGATGGTTTCGATGCTTCGGAAGACTATCTGGTAAGGTTGAACCTTAGGTTTTCTAGATTTGAATCGAACTTTAAGTACCTTTTTTATTTAACTAAAACTTAGATTTTTAGTAAATTTTGATACAATTTAATGAAATATATGGTTTAAAAATTGATAAAAGTTGCAATCTTAAAATTAATTGTCTATTTTGACTTAAAATTTTATTAATTTTTTTACTAAACCAAGCATGACCTAAACGTTGGGTTATCCCGTCTAC